ACACAAGCCTCCACCACATGAGTGGCAGTTGCCCTTGAGGTGCACTGGCTGGGAATTGAACCCAGACCTCCTGCACGGAAGGTGAGAACTCTAATACTGAACCACCAATGTTCTTCAGCAGAGTCCTCAGTCCTACTGAAATGAACAAGACTTTCTCCCAATATTGCATCCCAGTTCCCCATGGTCATGCCTCTGAGTTCTAAATCTCATAGGAATTCTGCTCCTAAGTGCCTATGACATCAACTGTCTCAGAATGTCCAAGGAGTGCTTCTCTAGATACAGGCAGTCCAGACCCTGTCCAATTTATAGACAACTTGCCCTTTAATGTTACATAAATTTGTTCTCATTTTGAAATGAATGAACCAACCTCTAATTGCAACAAATTCTTCATCACAATAACCTTACTTGCTGCACGTGCACCTTTTAAATCATTGTTGTTGTTATGTGCCGTCGAGTCGGACCCGACTCATAGCGACCCATCCTTGGGTTTCTGAGATACTGGAAGGGCTAAATAAGAACCATATGCACCTGTTCTGACTTACCTACCAATTTGACTTAAAGACATTTAGGAACAGATCTTGTTCATAACCTGGGGACTGCTTACGTTGATGCATCCCAGCTCTTAGGGGTAAGTAAAAGGGTTAACTATGGGAAGCCTAGTTAGTAGCCTAATAGCTGAGTCTAAGTAGTTAATATGGTAACGGTGATGAATGGGAATGCATCTCTGAGCTATCAACTTAACCCTTTTACGACTGAATTACTTTCTGTTTTGAATTCTTTGTTGATTAACTATGTTGTCAGTAATGGAAGGCGTGCTGAAATCAAGGAAAAAAGTGTTTTTTTAAGGTAATATGGATTTTGGTATAATTATGGGGGACACATATATCCCAAATTGGCTCTGGTGGTAGGATTGGTGGGGTGAGGCCTATTTCTTTAGATTCATGCAGTTACATGGGCCCCTGCCAAGCAGCAGCATATATGACAACTTGGATAACAGCTTCTCAAGAAACCTGACTTAAAATATTGGTGGGCAATGTATGTACCCATGGGTCATGAACGGGTTAAAAGCCTTATGAAGTTGGGAGAGACTCTTGGTGGGATAATTGCCTTATTTCAGCACTTTCAGTGCTTTGGAGGCAGTTCTGGGACCTATGAGGTGCTTCAGGTTTCCTTAGGGTGGAACTTCTCCAATATACCTTTATCTATGTTGAATGGTGTACCCCAGATGCCCATCTCTAAAAGCACACATAACCCAAGCCCAGTATGTCTGGAACTTGAAACTGACCTTGTCTGTTAGTTTAGGGAATGGCTGTTGAATGTTCTGAATTTTTTACTGCAACACTGCCTCTGCTCTTTTCAGACCATTTAATGCCTGTGGCTACACTGCCTCAAGCTTGTAGTTATGTGCTAGTTTCTTATGTGTATTAGAAACTGCCACGCAGTTGTGGGTCTCATTCCTCAATGAAGCTTGATAGTGGATATATTAGTATTTTGTCTACTACGTCTCTTCTATATGGAAATTGTCCCTCCCCCACACCATGTAATTTAGGTGGGGCTGTCCATCAAGGGACTGATTCTTACCTACAACAGGGGTCACATGACCAAGGATGACCAAACACAAGTCTCTTTCTGAGAGTTTCTATAGCTTCTAGGAGAGTGTCTCTTCTGAGTTTACAAATCTAGATCTGGGACCCTCTTTTCTACCATATGCAAAGCTATAAAGCCAACACTGAGCAGAGGAGGGTTGAAAAGCTGGAAAGGGAGAAAGACTACTGATGACATTTATTGAGCATTTGGATCCAGCCCCGTCTGCAATCAGCAGTTCCATACCCCTGAACTTGGTTATATTAGACAATACCTCTTCTAAAATTCTAAAATTACAATTAAGCCTGTGTGAGTTGGGTTTCTATCACTTATAACTGGAGGTTCTAATTAAGGTTCCCTTGAGCTTGTTTAACTATAAGATGGCCATGGAGTCAGCATATCTGCTCACTGACCTTTCTCTGTAAGGCCTCATAGGGTGCATATTCTTTCCTGATGTACACCCAGCCCTCCTCCACAGCAGCTATCTGAAGCTCCTTTCTTTTCATACAGCCTCAAGAAGCTCATCTTCAAAACTGATACCCCAGGGATCATGATACTAAGTGGTACCCACAAGTGCACTGCACATTCCAACCGCATTAGCTGTGGAATCTTTAAGCACCCATCACATTCTGAGTTCCCATCAATACACTCTGGAGAAGGGTATCATGCTTGGTAAAGTGGAGGGTCAGCAGAAAAGGGGAAGACCCTTAGCGAGATGGATTGAGACAGGGGCTGCAAGGATGGGCTCAAGTGCATAGCAAGGATTGTGAGGCTGCCACACAACTGGGCAGTGTTTCGTTCTTGTTGTACGTAGGGTCACTATGAGTCGGAGCTGACTTGATGGCATCTAACAACAACATCATCAATATACTCTTCCTTTTTCTCATTTTTATTATGCCATAAATGCATTGTAGAAGTCCATGACTCCTTATCTTGCCACAGAGGAGAAAAATGGGTCACGAATCATTTACACCAGTAGAAAGAATGAAACTGCAAGTTTATTTGAAAGTATAAAAATTTTAAAAAACCAAAACCTAACCAACAAAAAGCAACCACACACAATCTTTCCAGTTTACAGTAACTCTGAACATCACACACGGTATATTAACCACTTTATTTGCATTAAACAAATGTTCATTTCAAGGTAGAGGGCATCAAGTCAGGTGATAAGTTAGCGAACACAGCGAAACTCGTTTAATGCTAAAATAAAAAGGACTAGCTGACCTTGTCTGAGAAACACAGCAGAGATGGTTTCTGGCTGGCATTCTACAATGGATTTTGGCAATGTATGAAAAAATGTCCTGGTTGGAATGAGTTAAAAAATATTGCTGGCCCTTTATCAGCCATCTTGAGTAGAAAACAAAACAAAACAAAACAAAACTGCAGCTTTGGTGTTCTATTCATATACTCTAAAAAACATTCATTAAACAATCAAATCTATAATAAAAATGTCCCTGTGTTTGTTTTCAAAAACAACATTAATAGGCTGCGCTTATCTACGAAGACCATTTGTTCTTCCAAAGACAACTGGAAGCAAAAACACGCCGTGAGATTAACTCCCTGCCCAATTAATTAAAATTAGAATCCTTTCCTCTAAACAACTTCCAGAGCACCAGAAAGGAGCAGGGGCCCCTCGAAGGGAGGAATAAAGCTATTCTGACTCACAGGGGAGGAAACGTTCTGCTGGAGGGTCCAGCTCACCCTGGCTCCGTCAGAAGGTCTATCTTTATTGGATTACTCAGAAAATAACTCAAGTGCTATTTTAAAAATGAAAGAAATAATAATAATGAAAAAAAACTAGGCTTCCTTTGTTTTCTTTTTAAATCACCAAGTGGCTAGCCTTCCTGTAAAATACTTTGGATTTATTTTTTTCCTTAAAAAAGAAGTCTACGGAATAGGATCATTGAGTGCCACCTTATCCCCCTCCCACAAGCTCCATTTTAATAAACATCAAACATGTTCTAAACATTTCTTCTGCTGTTTAAAGAAGCCCAGAGTGGCTCCACCTGTTTCCAGTTTTGTTCCCCATCAGTTGGTGTGGTTTCTTGCCAAACAACACTGAAGTTTCAACCCATTATTCCCCCAGGGGATGGCCCCGTGGCTGGCTGGGCACAGAGAAAGAGCCAAACTAGCACAAACACAGAGACTATGAGTGGAGGGAGAGACAGGTCCCTCTTCTGCATCCTTCAAGAACCTGATAAATAATGACCTTAAAGTGCGACAAATGCACAAGTGCCTGGCACACAGGTTAGTCTGCAGTGACTTTTTAAGCACAGGGCTCGGTGGGGCAAAGGTAGCATCTCCTTTTGCATCTTTCTTTGGACCCCACTAAAAAAAAAATAATAATAAAAGGACAGTTTTCCTATACACATATAAATAGTCCCTTAACTGGAAGGGAAACAAAACAAACACACTATTTCGAATGCATTTCTAAGAGACTGAAAAAGAAAAGAGTCCAAAGGGAAAACCCTGACTTCACATTGTCCATGACTCTCAGAGGAGAAACTGCTGGGTTGCTAGGAGGGGCCGGTGATGGACATAAAAGGAACACAAGCACTTGGGCCTTGGGAAGGGAGTGTATGCAGTACAAGGAGCCAAGAACTCACACGCGAGGGACTGAGTATTGTGTTCACTTGTGTTAAGGACCATAGTGTCAAGCCCAGCTGAAGGTAAAACTGACTTTCAGGTGTGAAAGGAACTTAGGAGGCTAGTGTTTGTGTTGCATGAACGGGCTAGGCAGGCTGGGTGTGGTTTATAGCGATAACGAGGCCAGGCCAGATTCTTAGCAAACTTGAGTCCAGTGCCATCCCTTGGCTACAGGCAGTTCACTCAGTTGGGAGGGTGATAATCTAGAGTCAGGGAAGGAACGGTGGAGCCAGGCAGGGTTCGGCGCTTGGCAGCCTACACTGCTGGAGCTGAGACCTGGGATAAAGTCATGGCAGGAGCTCACTGTCTACTCTGGGATGAGGCTGATGATAGATGATGCTGGAGAAAGCTTTCCAAACCAGGATTCATGGGTAAATTCTTAAACCCAGAACCCATTCAGCAGGTAGACGGCATATGCAGTCATTCACAAAACAGAAACTATGCTGCCAATAGCTAGGGGCACTACTCACGTCAAATGTTTTCTTTGGTAACTGCCTCCATGACCAAGTGCAATGTACGGCATAGTGCATGGCAGCTTTTGGTTGAGCACCTGTTCTCTTTCCAGGGGGACCATCCAATGACCCTTCATGGCAGGATCACCCTACTTAAACCCCAAAATGAACATCTAAGGTAGTGAGAATTGGGTCCAGTGTCTACTGTCCTTCTGCACATCTGACCTGTGCAGAAACTCTGCTCACTCAGAGACTGCCCTGTTTAAACACTGTTGAGCCTGCTGCCTGCAATCCCACTCAGAGGGATTCCAATCGTAACAGAAGAACAATGGGAAGAGAAGGTTGTGATTCTGGCCCCCAAAGAAAGAGTGGCCTCACGGGACAGATGTACAGCACAGATGTCAACTGAGAGGCCAGAAAAATTCCAGGTGGCCCTCCAATGAACATACCTGAATTCTGGTGGAGGAGGACAATACAGAGAAAGCTGATACCCCAAACTACTGCTTGAGACATCCTAAAGAACCCCATGAGCACCCATTGTTAGCTTGGGAACAAGTCAGAGCAGATTAACCCATATGGACTTTGGAATAACTGGATTCTATACTTCCTCGGTGCCCTGGCTGGGCAGAGAGTCCCTGGGCTCAGCAGTGCCCTCTGGAGATGCAGACTGCTCTGGGCTGTAGCCACTGTCTTCCACGCTCAGGAGGCTGCTGGCCGCCTGGGAGCTGGCGCTACTGGCACTCCCAGATCGGGAGCGGTAAGGGGGCAGGTCGGCTTGGTTCAGAGACTCGGTGTCGGAAGAGTAGGGCGGTGGAGGAAGGTCGTACCATGCAGGCCTGCAAGGGAGAAAAAAGTTGGGGTGGGAGGGGCAGAGGAGGGAGGAGAGGGAAGAGAAGGCATTAGAGCCAAAGTGAGACAGGCCACGTGGAACCAAAGCCAATTTCTGTCCATTCCAGAGTTGACGCTTCAAAAGAGAAATGAGATTTCTCCCTCCAAGTGCAAAGGCAATTCAAGGATAGGAAAGCTGGCAGTTTAAACAAGACAAAGGGAATAAAAAGGTCAGTGTGCACTAGCTGGCGAGCATCAACTGGGTGGTGCCAAAACCACATCTTTTGGGTGAGCCCAGATGGGGTTGCCAGACAACTCCCTCAGTTTGACATGGGTGGTAGGCCAAGCTGCTTCACTCCATCAGTGAGGGCCCTCAGGGCCAAGTGACCAGGCTGGCGTTTTGACTGAGCCCCCAGTGGGCCCACAGAATTTGGGGTTGCCGGGAAAAGCCAGCTAGTCTCGGCTCTGTGAACTTGGGTAAATAAGAGGACATCCTCTCAATGCCTCAGTTTCCTTATCTGCAAAAGGGGGTGATACGGTAGCATAGTGGTTAAGGCATCTGGCTCCTAACCAACAGACTGGTGGTTCAAACCCATCAGCTGCTCTGTGGAAGAAAGATGAGGCAGTCTGCAGCCATAAAGGTTTACACCTTTGGAAACTACAGGAAAGTTTCCTGTCCTATCTGGTCACTATTGAGTTGGAACTGATGGCAGTGGGTTTGGTTTTGGGGTTTGGAAATGAAATAATTTTACAGAGCAGGCATTTCTTAATCTCTCTTTTACTCAAGTTACCGTGCCATGTAACTTACATTCAACACCTTATCTCATGCTCACAAGAACGCTACGAGGTAGGCATGACTTTTGTTTCCATTTTACTGATGAGGAAACACAGGCACAAGGACATTAAATGGCCTGCTCAGCATCACAAATGGCTAGGAAGCCAAAGGGCTGTGATTTGAAACCAGGTATCCATCTCCAGATTCAGCCATTTTAGCTTAATCTACAGAGGATGGTCCAAAGGAACAGGGTATGAGTTAGAATGTTATTAGGTGAGTGATGTCTTGCACCCGTGCAGATTTATTTTGCAAAGGAATCTTTAAGACATACCCCTACCCCTAAAGCTTTGTTTACCTTCTATGAAAAAGGGAAAATGAAGATTAAATAATGTAAGATCAGCCCACTGGGGCAGGTCCAGTGAAGAGCCCAGCTGCCCTAGGTACATGGTCTATAAAATGCCTAATGTCACACATAGTGTGTCTTGGGCTTGCGAGAGAAGGATGCTGAGCTAGGGCCCTGAAGGACAGGGCATGTGAATCTTAGAACCAAAAGGGACTTGAATAACTCAGGACCAGGGCATTACAAGGCTTATTTGGGTGGTACTTCGGAGAACACAAAGAAGGGGAGGGGGAGGCTGAGCAGGCAGGATTCTGGTCCACTTCATGTACAGAATGATGCTTTTTGGGCTTTATATAGTAGGGTTTCTTGTATAATTCCATTTGTAATGAGGGTTCTCCTGTTTCAAAGAGCCAAGAGTACTCTATCCTCTCCACTTCAATTTTACAAACAAGGCCAAGCAAAGTTAAGGAACTTACTCATTCATTCATTCAAGAAACATTTACCAAACCTCTAACGTGCTGGGCACTGCTCTGCAAAGGCAGCAGGTGAAGCTTCAGAGCTAGCAGGTGGTCTGAACACATGTCAGTGTGGTATCACTGGGCTGGAGCAGGGCTCAGTTGCCCAGGCTCCTAAATTTATGTCCTTAGACAAGTCCCAGAGCCTCATTTTCCAAGTCTGTAAACAAATACACAACCTCTCTGCATGAGTCGTTGGAGGGATTAAATGACATGAAGCACACGAAGCATTTTCCAAAGACTCGGTAAATGTTCGATGTCTCTGCTATCTACACAACTAAACCCAACTCTTGGCAAGCCCCAGGAACTCAGCTGTGTGTGACTACCCCCACCTGGTGATGCCCCCCAGTCACTTCCAGCCAGCACACACCTTTGGTCCAGCAGTGCTTCTGAGTAAGAGGGCGGGGAGCCCACTTCTGATGCGTTCTGCTCAGCCTGGCTAGCCACATACTGGATGCCGTTGTTAACATTGTAGGTGACGTTGCAGTGGTGGGGGTGGTCCAGGACCACCAGGCGGGAGAGCAGCACAGGGTGCTGCAGCCGATGCACAGGGAGTGTCATGAGGTTGTTCCGTTTCCGCTGGTGGTGCAAGACTAGGGCCAGCAGGGCCACCACCAGCACAAAGATGACAGAGCTGCCGATGATGGCATAGGTGATGCTTGGGTAGTATACCAGCTGGTTCTCCGATGTCACAAACACCTGCCCGCTGCCGGGCTCTGCAGGTAGAGAGTGGAGAGAAAAGGAGAGAGGGTTACTAATGCTGTTCACCCTTTGGTTTCAAAGTCAGCCCCAGGGCTTGTGCACAATGTTCACAGTGGCATTATTCATAATAGCCAAAAAGTGGAAACAACCCAAATGTCCATCATCTGGTGAATAGATAAGTAAAATTACATCTATACAATGGAATATTATTAAGCAATAAAAAGGGACAAAGTACTGACTAAAACAACAACAAATCCTACTGCCATCAAGTCAATTCTGACTCATAGACACCATTTAAGTCAGAGTAGAACTGTCCCATATATTTCCAAGGCTGTAAATCTTTACAGAAGCACACTGCCTCATCTTTCTCCACGGAGCAGTTGTTGTTGTTGTTGTTATGTGCCGTCAAGTTGGACCCGACTCATAGCGACCCCTCCTTGGGTTTCCGAGGGGATATCACTACGGAAGTAGATTGTCCCATTTTCCTTCCGAGGAGTAGCTGGTGGGTTTGAACCAGCCTTCTGGTTAGCAGTCAAGTGCCTTAGGCACTATGCTACCAGAGCTCCCACAAAGCAGTTGAGTGGGTTCAAACTGCCGACCTTTCGGTTAGTAGCCAAATGCTTTAACCACTACCCCACCAGAGCTCCTCAAGTACTGATATGTGCTACAATACAGTGAACCTGGAAAGCACTACGATCAGTGAAAGAAGCCAGGTACAATGTATGTATGGTTCCATTTTTAAGAAATGTCCAGACTAGAAAAATCTATAGACAAAGTAGATTAGTGATCACCAGGGGCTGGGGCACAAAATGGGGATGAAATGAGCATGAGGGATTTTACTGAGATGATAGAAATGCTCTAAAACTGGATTACAGTTACAGTTGCACAAATTAGCAAACTCACTAACAATTATTAAACTTTACTTTAAAAATTTGAGTTTTGTGCTATGTATATTTCAATAAAGTTGTTTTTAAAAATGGTCAGTTCCAGGACATGCATTATCTGGGAAATAGGAATGACAGTTTGTGGCAGAAATCAGTCTTTTTCTGGAAATTTATAACACAACATACGTGAAGAACAGATGTAGGCACATCTGAGGTTCCCTACATCTACAGAGTGCTTATTTTATGGCAGGCCCATGCTAAGCATTCACAGAAACCCAGCCCAGAACAGGCTAAAAGCATGGGCTATGCAGTCAGCCTGGGTTAAAATTGTAGCCCCTAACTTATTTGCTGTGTGCCCTTTTAAAAACACTCAACCTCTCTGTGTTGCAATTCCCTCATCTGTAAAATGGAAACAATAACAGTCCCCACCTCATGGGGCTGCTGTGAGTATGAAATGAGCCCGTAATTATCAAGCACTCAGATGATGGTAGACACACTGTGTGCATAAGGCTCTGTCCAATACATAAAATTATATGTGTCATCACCTTTACTTGCCTCCTAAGAGCTCCGTGAAGCAGGCACTGCAATTTCCCTTCCTTTTAAAAAATTGTATTGTGATAAAATATACATAACATCTGTCACTT